CCTCTTAGGAAATGGTACTGCCATTTGCAAGGTTGCTAGACCTCCACCTTACCCCTCTGGCCCCCAGTTGAGTTCATTCTTGGCTCCTTTCCCTCTCGGTAAAATGGAGTTCCATGGCTTTATTCTGTCATCTCTGTCTTTAAAATATATCCAGAATCCAACTATTGTTCATGAATTTTTCCCCCACAAAAGCCTTACATCAGGCCCTTTTCTCTTACCTTAACTTTTACAATAGTCTCAACAATAAACTCTTTTCCCACATTAACTCATTGCAGTTTTCACAGAACAGACAGAATACCACTGCTCAGAGGTATGTTAAATCATGTGTCCTTTCCAAAGCCCTCCAGTGGCTTTGCCTCACATGCAGAATAAAAGTCCAGTTCCTACGATGACCTAAAGAACCCAAATGATCAGGATGCTGGCCTTTCAGTGGGCTCAGACCATGAACATCTTCTTTCTGGATTTTTCCATGGGGGAAGTGTGTTTTCACCTCAGGGCATTTGGCTGTATTTTTTTTTTTCTTTTTACCCCCTGTAAACACCACATCTCCTTAGCTTTCTGCTTCTCAAAGCTCTTCTTCATAGGGACAGGTAAGTTTCTACCTTATTTATGGTAGAGAGGGAAAGTCTCCTATCTGTCATTCTTTATCCCCTTTCATAAAAATGCAAAAACATTGCATGTTGACATTTTAAAATATTTGGTTACATTTCCGTTCTTACCTAGTTCCTGGGAGCAGAGATTTTCAGTTGTTCACTTGAGCATCTCCCTTGTCTCCACCCGGCCTGCATGCAGAGGGGCCTCAAGAGGTAGTTGTTGAATGAGTGGGAAATTTAACCAATGTGTATTATTTCCTGAAAAAATAATCAAAGATAGTATTTTAATCATAGCCTAAGCTAGTAATTCCAATTTATTTTGTTTCCCTTAGAACATATTTATTTTTTAATTTTATTTTTATCATTTAAGCAGCTTTATATATATTTCTTCCATAGTTTCTCCACAGGATTTTTACCCCTTCAATTTGGGTAGTTATAAATTATAAAAATGTCTAGCTAAGTGTAATAAAGGTTTCATTTTATTCATATGGACTAATGTCAAATTTTCTATTTTTAAAAAAATATTGCCCTTGATTCCTGCTTATTCTCTATTTTTTTTTCATTACTATAAGAAACAATATTTTTCTCCATTCCCTCTTCCTCCTTGGCAGTTATTATTTCTAAAGGGTTTCTTAATCTACACTAATTTATTTTATTATTATCAATGCCTGGACTTTGGCCTGAGATGTGGTTTTTTTATTAATAATTTTTTAAGCAGGGAGGAAGAGCATGAGAAGAAGATTACCATTAAACAGGGACAAGAGGTGGGAGAGAAAGGGAGAGAGAAGGGAAATTGCATGGAAATGGAAGGAGACCCTCAGGGTTATACAAAATTACATACAAGAGGAAGTGAGGGGAAAGGGAAAAAATGAGAGAGAAATGAATTACAGTAGATGGGGTAGAGAGAGAGGAGGGGAGGGGAGGGGAGGGGGGATAGTAGAGGATAGGAAGGGCAGCAGAATACAACAGACACTAATATGGCAGTATGTAAAAATGTGGATGTGTAACTAATGTGATTCTGCAATCTGTATTTGGGGTAAAAATGGGAGTTCATAATCCACTTGAATCAAATGTATGAAATATGATGGCAAGAGCTTTGTAATGTTTTGAACAATTAATAATAATAAAAAATTAAAAAAAATTTTAAAAATAAAAAAAATAATTTTTTAGCTGGAGATGGACACAATACCTTTATTTGTTTATTTTTTTTTGTGGTGCTGTGGATCAAACCCAGTGCCTCATGTGTGCTAGGCAAGCAATCTACCACTGAGCCACAACCCCAGCCCTGAAATGTGTTTTTAATGTCAAAGATGACTTAAAGTATTCATTGATTCATTTATTTAACCAAAAACCAATATTGAAACCACCTAATGTATTATAATATATTTTGAAAAGGACCCAGTAGTAGTAGTAGTAATAGCAGTTATGTTTTCAGATTCGAGGTTAATAGCTAACAAATTTAGAATGAATTCTGGCAATCTGGGAAATATTTCCATGAAATCCTTGACAAATCCCTAATAAAATCTATATAAAAATGTGGCTCTAAAGAATGTTTTCTTGCTTTGTTCCTAAAAGGAAGATTTTTGATTGTTTGAAACCATCTGAAATCTGCTCAAGTGAGTATAAGCAGGTTCTTTGCTGTTGACTGATTTTGATTTCTTCTTTGCTAACACACACTCTGGGAGCCCCCATATTGGTGGAATTCACCAAGGTACTGCTTTCACTCCTAAAGTAATTAATCTGAGAACATTTGGTTTCATATTAGGTCAGGAAGGACTATTATATTACCTCCTTTTAAAATAAGATAAACTAAAAAGGTATTTTCAAAACTATATTAGCCAGGTGCCATGGCACATGCCTACAATCCCAGCAGCTCAAGAGGCTGAGGCAGGAGGATCACCAGTTCAAAGCCAGACTCACAACTTAGCAAACCCTATCTCAAAATTTAAAAAATTAGAAAGTGGGGGTGCTGCATACCTGGCCCTCAACCTTAGTTCAATCCCTGGTACCAAAAAAAAAAATGTGCATTTAAACAAACATACAGTTTGTTTTTAGCTCCTGTTTGTGTCTAATCCTCCAAAAATAGTCCTGAAGACACAGGAAAATTAGCTAATGTAATGATATGCTACAAAGACAAGTTAACATTTGGCTATCTGACCACATCTTTTCTAACTGGTCCCACAGATTTACCGTATGTCCTCAGATTTATCTCATGTCTTTGAAGTTGTTTGTTGTAAATATGGAGAGCATTTCAGCAAGCAGTAGCTGTGGAATAAAATGTTTTGCCTTTCTACCAAATTAAAATTTAAGATATCCAAGTACTTAGCATCACTGTAGGAGGCTAGCCTGGAGCTAAGACCTGGTTGTATTGTTTTTGTACTAGAAAAAATACATCTTTACTTCCTCCTCTGTTTCTCCCATCTCTGCTAACTTAACCCCTGATCAAAAAATCCACTACTGATGGGCTTGAACTCAACTCCCTCCCAGGTTTGTCCTTGCTCCCAAAGTATCCCCACACTGAAGCATCTGGCCACCGCCTCTTCCTGTTTTCTAAACCTTATCAATGACAGGTGGGTATTTGGAAGGAACATCATTTGCTTTGATTACAGCCCTCAGCTGAAACGGTGTAGCCTCCCCGTAAGCACACTCATGTTTTATTCTACCTCCAGCTTGATGATTGCTAATTCGTATGGATTGGTGTTGAACGGTCTTAAGGTCACTGACCTGTAATATTTCTTAGAACTCGCTGATGAGAAACAATGTCCAAAAGAATGTATCTGAAACTCTGGAGTCCCACAGGAGGAGGGCAAGTGCTTTGCAATTCAACAGGCCAGGCTTCCAATCCTATTTCTACTGCTTGAGATTATGCGGCACAAACCAAGGCTCGGCTCTTCAAGTCCGTTTAGCCCAGGAATGAACAATAATGATCTTCTTCATAACTGTCATGAGGATAATACTTGCCAAGTGCCTGCATCTGAAAATGCTCACTCTTTCGCTATTGGTCATTATTATTACCAATGGGTCAAGCCAGACCTGTGAGGAGGTGAGGATATGGTCTAGCCCCCCTTCCCCATACTCCACCCCAATTATTTTATTGAACAATGCTATGGTCACCATGGTGTGGGATGCCTAACTTCCTCTGAAGGTCAACCTGAGAAACAACTTTCTAAAACCCACTGTGGCATTTACCGTAAAGACAGTCAGGAATGCTGTTTGTGTCTTTACACGATGTTCCTTTTTATGGGGCTTCAGGAGAATTCAGTGTCTGCTGTTGGTGCCAAGCAGAGTGGTGCTTCTGAGCATTGGGTTTATTTTAAGCTTATGGCCAGTAAATTATATAACTGACCGAGTTTCCCTTTTTGAGTTGGCTGCTAGAAAGCTTAGAGCCAAATTCACGGCTCATTTGTAGGAAGTGTATTGGTTATTATGGGATGCATTTTAAGTCTCATTTCTAACTCCATTTTGTGTCCCCATCTTTGTTTATTATTTTCTCCCTTTTAGTCCTTCTTTATTTCATGCTATTTAAAATTTTTCTTTTATTTATTCTTACAAACGGCCTTAAATTATTTCTAAAACAAGATGGGAAGTAGACAGGTAGCTAGGTTGGTAGATAGGGAGAAAATAGAGTTTTGAATAATTTCACATGTTGTAGCTCCTATATTTAAAAGATGTTTAATTTTAATAACCTAGCATTGGCAACATAGAATGAATTTTGCAATTGGTAGGATTTCAGACTTTGCAAGAAAAGGAAAGAGAAATGTTCAGGAGAGGGAGTACTTTGAAGAGGACCAGGGTGATTTAGGAACTTCTAGAAGGAAAATCAGTGGAAGGCAGGAGGACTACAGCTCAGGGAAAGCTGAATACTGTCCCTTCTATGATCAGATTGGTTCATTAATTAACCATTGTGTACTCCTCTAAGGTCAGCTTGTAAAAATGTTTACCTTGCATAGAGAACACAGGGCAGTGAAGACCATGGGCTCTGGAATCTGGAAATACTGACTGGGCCATTGCCTGAATTTATTTAACTCACAGTGCTTCGTTTCCTCAAGTATCAAATTACTTCACGGGGTTCACAGTAAAGTGCTTAGACTCCTCTAGAGACTGGAACTCAGTAGAAGACAGCACCTACTGACTGTTGTTATTCTTTTCTACTAGAGGTCAAGGATTTTCAAAAAGTTGTGAGATCATCAGTTTTGCCATATGAATTGCATAGTGGGGTTTGTGGTCAGGCTGATATGAATGGCAACCTTTATGATAAGTAAGAATTTTAATTATATATATATATATATATATATATATATTATATATATATAATATATATATACATACATACAGTTTATAGGTATGTCATGAAATTTTCAAATCATCAGGACCATTTCATGGTGAATTTAGAGACGGTATGTACTTTTCTTGATCTTTCCAATCCAAGAGGAGATCATTATATCCTCTGGGAAATATTATATCCTGTTAGCATCATAGAGTTGTTCATGAAATATTCTAATGTGAATAGTATGTCTTATGTTTTTTCACCCAAGGGTCAGTATTTTCTTTGCAATATGCAGACCAAGTTCCCTTAGTTATAATGAGTAAAGGCCAGATATAGTCCCAGAAAATATCATGTGTCATGAAAGCTTCGAGACACAAATGTTCCTGATCTTTTCTCTCTATTTTCTTCTGTGTCCCATTCCCCACAACCAAGAGAACTTGGCCTCTGTCTGCTTGGTCTCTCCTTTCATTGACATCTAACAACATTCCAACATTGCCAACTGCTCTGTAATATAAAACCTAACGTCAGGTGGAGAGAATTTGGGCTCCGGGAGTAGAAAAAGGATGGAGTTTGTTGCTGTTGTTGTTGTTGTTGTTTAATTTGCTGGCTCTCCTTGTTCAGAATCTGAGTAATGGGTGATACGGGGAAAATGGAAAGAAAAGGTGGCAGTAATGAAAGTCTCTCTGATTAAAAAGCTGGAGAACTAGAGTGAGGGAGAGAGTCAGGAAACTGAGTTCCCCAAGGAGTTGGTGTAGTTTGTCTTAGGAAGTAAGGGCAGATTCTCCAGTGGCTTTGGGATATGAGATGATGGGGGAGGAAAGAAAAAGGATTTTTGAATAAGCATTGCCGAGGGTGAGAGGATTCTTTGTTGTGGTCTTTGAGACTGGCATTTGACTGAATGAGTTTTGTTGCTGGACAGCGCTTGTGTCAATGTGACTGGGCTATGAGAGAATGAGGGTTTGTTAGGGTTACCTGGTTTACTCACAGTCCTGATGCAGTATGTGTTGTCTAACCCTGTTACACAAAATATACCTTCAACTTTCCCTTGACGTCTAGTGCACAGGACAATTGGTCATTTACAAGTACGGTTCTCCCCTGATTCCCCGCGGGCTGCTGTTTTGCTCACTTCTGCTGCTCTCTGTGTATAGTGGGGAGCTAACGGGATGCTGTTCTTATAAGAGACCTGAGAAGAAATGTTGGAATGTTGGTCAGAAAAACCCATCAAACGCCTCTCTAGATCAAAGAGGATCCAGCTGCCTTGGTGAGAAATAAGAGACAACTAGAGAAAGAAAGGGTTTCAGTTCTGTAGTAGCTGGAATAAAATGGAGTATGTATTATAATTAAAAAAACTAATTGAACAGTTCATTAGGTTTATCATTTAGCCACATGAACCAAGAAGCTGGTTTTACTGAATTTATTTGATGTGGCTATTTAGTAGGCATTTATTGCAGACAAGGGTGAAGTTTCAAAAACCTTTAATTTCTCACTGAACTCTTGGCCAGTATTTTTATACCAATCTAGAGGAGATTTTTTTTCCTACTTCTCAATAAAACAACAGGTATTTTCATACTGAAAAACTTCCTTAATTCGGAAAGCCCTGCTATAGGTGAAGTCTAAGCCTCTGGCCTTGGTGTCCTGGGCACTTCCTGGTCCCTCCCCAGCTGGGGCTTCTTCCCCTTCCTCTCTTTGCTTTTCCTCATCACCCCACAGTCTTGGATTCTGTAAATGACTCATTCCAGAAATAGTTTGAAATACTTTTAAAGCCTGATTTTCTCTTGTTTAACTGAGATAAAGTAAAAGTGACTTAGACAAGTTGAGTTTTTTTTTTTTTTTTTTTCCTGTTTCATGGTACTGTCCAAAGACAACCACCACGGGGCTGATAAGGCAGTGCCCTGTCCGAGGATCTTGGGCTGTTTGTGTCCTATTGTTCTATTTTCCTGAATCTCCAGCCATCTTCAAAATTGGCTGGTCCAGTCCTCATCAGCTGGTCTACACTGACGCCAGTGAGAAGGGGGAAAGCGTGCTCTAGTCTCACTGAAGGACACGACGGGGAGGTTGGCACGTGCCATTTGTTTCATAACCGGAATATAGTCACACATCATCTATGTTATTCTAACCTTGATTTTTTTTAAAAACTAATTTAATAACCATCTTATTCTAACCTTTTTTTATTTTAAATTCTTTATTTCTATTCAGCCATCCATGTTGTGAAACCTGGGATATTTATGTTAGACCAACAACCATATTTCTATTATAGTTAAAATAATAGATAATGAGGGTATGACTAAGTATTTTTTGTACCCTCTATGTCATTCACTGTGTTAAGTGCTAAGGGTATACACAAGAATAAGGACTGAATCTGGTGGGAAGAACTAAGTTTAGTTTGAAGACTTTGAGTATAGCCCCATTGTCTGGATATACCATAAATATTTAATCCATATACATTTTTCTTGTATATTCTATCTGAACCTACTATGTGTAATCATCCATGCATTTGCATTTAATGCCCTATTGCCTGAGACTCTTTCTTTCCCTGTTTTCCACTGGATGTGATTCTGCCATCCTGCAGAGGCTAGCTCAGATGTTTCTGCCTTTGCAGACTTCAACATTTCTTCCAGGTTATGTAGGAACTGTTTCTTTCATGTTCCATTGCTCCCAAACACTGTTCCCCTTACACTGTTGTTTTATAAGAGCCTTGAGGCATAGGTGGACTGGCTTTTTTTCTTTGCTATCCCCACACCTCAGCACAGTGCTGAGCAAATAGAAGGTGCTCAATAAAGATTTGCTGAATCCAATTAGTTAGTGCTCAGCATTTTTTCATGGATCTTTGAATGACAAGGTGGGTGGAATCTCCAATGAACTTGGGAATCTCTCTCCTATTATGTTTAAAAATATCATGGTTAATGGAAAGTTAAGTGAATTCCAAATCAAATTCAGAATCAAGAGATACATTGTTTCCTTAGTGTTTTCATCTAATTCTAACCTTGTTTTTTTAAATTTTTTATTTCTATTCAGTTATTCTCTTAAATGTGTGAAGGGGCTTAAAAAAACTTGAATTTTTATCATATGTGTTCTTTTATTACTATATTTCTCACTGAAGTTTCTTTTAAAAAATCAAACTAAAATCCTGTCTACTAGAAATATACAGTGTATGGTCCAGAAAACATTGAGTTTTCCCCAGGACTTAATTCAAAAGCCAATATGCAGTATAATTCAGAAATTTTATTTTATCTTTCTTTGCTTTAGGTTTCTGACTTAATTATAAAAGTACTCCTATTTTCTCTCAGTAATCTATTATTTCCCTTTTGGGTCTTAAAAAACATGGAGGATTGATTAGTATGTGATAAAGTTATAGAATTTTCAGACTGTAAATTATGTAAATTACAGACTATTAGTTATACTATTGATCATATTACTGATAGACAAAACAACCATTTGGGGCCTCCATTAATTACTTTATTGGTCAAATAAAGAGAACTGAATTAAGGCAGAATATTCTTTTTCTGGCTCTAATAGTCTCTAAGAGTAATAATAACAATAATAATACAGAGTTGTTACTTTAAACTGTAGGTTTTTAAGAAAATGCTGGCAAAATATGGAGAATTAGCAGAATCTCACTATTCTATGAACCTAAAGAGCAAAATGGTGGTTTATCTTGATCTATGGCATGAGATAATTAATTTGCCTTCTTATGTGACAACAGTATATGAAGTGACTTGGGTGTGGGTGCAAATTTGGATCAATATCTGTGGCACACTAAAAGGTTATATGAATCATTGCTTATTATAATGGTTGATATCATCAAATTAATAGTTGAATCCCCAGTGCTTTAATGATTCATCTTTTTAGGTGTGACATGTATATGGTCCTTTAAGAAGAATTTTAAGATCAGCTCCAACTCTGAGAGCTGCCTTTAAGGAATGATATAAACAAGAGTTTATAAGTAGTTATTGACTTGTAAGCTCTCTGGTCCGGAAGGTAGCCTTATTTGGTTTATTGTGTCTAAATCACAGTATGTAATTAATTAATTAGATCTGACTCTGATCAAATTTGCTTACCAGAGTTATGTTTGTTTAACAGGCTTCAGTATAAAAAAAAAAAAGAAGAAGAAGAAGAGTATTTGGCAGTGAGCACAGAAAATCTGCAGGCGGGGTGCTAGAGGGAGAAAGGTCCTGAGCCCACTCCATCAATCCTCCTTGTAATTCATGTGAAATACATACTGCAGGAAAAAGCATCTGACAAAATTGGAGGGTGGTTCTGTAGTCCTAGGAATCCACAGTGAATTAAAGTCTAGACTCGGTAATTTTTCAGGTAAGGGAGGAGGGAGAACTAGCAAATCAGATATGCCCAAAATGTTACAGAGGTAACACGGAATCAAGGATGCTGTTGCCAGTTTGTGCATTGTGAGAAGGCAATAACAGCCGAGCAGCAGCAGGAGCAGCGCGTTCTCAGAGGCAGTCACATCAACAGCAGCAGGGGTAGGCCGCCTCCTTTCAGTGTACTGCAGGGTCATGAAATGCAAGACTCTCTGATGTTTGAAAATCTCCCGAGTTGAGCATGGCTACTGTAAGAACGTTGCTAAGAAACTCTGCTGATTTGGACAGTCATGAGTATGTGTTAGCAATAGTTACTTTAGGAAAAGAGATACTACTTTTTGTAAATCAATAGGCAACCTCCCCCCTGAAGAAGAAGATCTCAAATTACCTTGTTGGGGTGGTGGTGGGAGATAAAAAAAAAAAACAGGGGGAACAAAGTTTTGGCATGCCTGTAGGAATGGTGGTTTCTGTAGAAACTACCTAACAGGCAGAAGCTAAGTGTTGATCAGCCCATGCCTCTTACCTGGGAGTGGAAGGTGGGAAGAAATGGACAGCGGCTGTGACGAGGAGACAAGACACGGTGCAGCTTGGTGAAGCCACACGCTGACTGCGTTCTGCCCCCTCTTCATGCAGTGCTGCGGGCTGGTACATCGCCGGCGAGTACGGGTGTCCTATGTAAGTTTCTATTGCTGTAGAATCGTGGCTAGGAGCTGAAAATCTATTTGTGTCTGTCTGATGCATGTTGCTTCTTTCGGATATTTTAATCCCTGTGCTGAACCAAACAGATGATCGATCATTTGTACCATGAGTTTTCAAGGCACCTGAGGTCTATGAGATTCTGAGATTTTTCCCAGAGATGTTATTGTCTTATCTTTTGTGCCATGTTACTTTAATAAGGTTGGGGATTCCTTGCACAGGATTTGGTTTGGAAAGTCCATTGTCTCAGATATCTGTATCAGTTCAAACCAGTTGATAGTCTCTTTTACCTAGAGTGGCTCTGTTTTCCTATTTGAATTATGGCATGGGGGAAAAACAATTCCTGAGATAAATACCATGGAGTTTGTCAAATTAAAGATAGCCACAGAGGCTAACGTTAAATCGTGTCTTGAGCAGCCTCAGAAAAAGAGTAGATGAGAATCGTTTGATGGATGAGAGAGCTGTTGCAGTAGCGCCAGCATTTACAACAGCTTTATCATGCTCTGACTATTTCACAGAAATAGCCCTTGTTCCGTGGACCTGCTGTGTTTTTGCAAAATGGCTGTCTGAGTATTAAATTCTATGAGGCAGACTCTCACACGTACTGAAGTATCCCTACTTCAAACGATTGGAGGCTAATTGAAATATGCCGTGCTGTTCGCTAGCCGACAGGCTCCAGGGAAGCGCTGGCTTGATTTTCATACTCCTTTTGCAAGCAGTTACTTTATTTTCAGGGAGTGATATGAAAGGGAACAGGAGGGCTTATGCAGGCTGGCCAGACTGCAGTGTTGAATTGCTTGACACTGATTTGAGATTCCTGGCTGCAAAACAGATAGAAAATTGACAAAGAAAGCTAATCAATTCTTAAGGGTATAATGTAAAGAAATCTGTGACCTTGGGAAATTGGCCAGCAGAAGAGAGAGATGTGAGACTTCCAGGACAAACAAGGTCAAAATGTGATATTAGCCAAATAATAAAGTTGGAGACTGAGATTTGGAGGGGCGGGGGAGGGATAATTACGTGCCTATTAGATCTTAAAGATGAGATTCAATTTTATGAAATAATCAAAAGCCCCCAAAGCTCCTTTGGAGGTTTTTGTAATTATTATATATTTGGTGCCATTTGTCTTTTGAATGCAACAGTTGAAGTGTCAGGAGTAAATGTAGTACTGAGGTAGCCAGCCAAGAGTCTTTACGACATCTGCAGGGGCAAATGATTTTTTTTTTCAATAGAAAAAGTAATTGCAGAACACAACAGACACTAGTATGGCAATATGTAAATCAATGGATGTGTAACTGATGTGATTCTCCAATCTGTATATGGGGTAAAAATGGGAGCTCATAACCCACTTGAATCAAAGTGTGAAATATGATATATCAAGAACTATGTAATGTTTTGAACAGCCAACAATAAAAAAAAGAAAAAGTAATTGCTTTTTAAAAAGATTTGCAAATAAGCACTAAAAACTTTTCAGTGTGTAAAATTGACCACATAAAGAAAACCTTAAATTAAAAGTCACTTGAAATTTAAAATGTATATTTTATGGAATAATGAAAACTAAGAATTCATAGCTTTATATATTTCTTTTTATTTCTAGTGACTTACAAAACTATCTATGGCTACCTATGCCTATTGTATAGAATATTTCTGAAATATGGCCTCAAAGCAACAATTTATACTGTTTTTGTCCTTTTTCTTATATCAAACATGTAAATAAATAGGAGGCAGCAGCATCTGCATTTTTTGGAATCATGACTGAAAAGTACAGAGATTTGGATAATCTGCTAATTTTCAAACTTTTTTGCTCTGTATTTTGGTTAAGAACCATGAAAACTATAGCAGAAATCTACTTTGAAATTAAGAGAAATTCATATACCTTAGTCACTAGAAATACATTTTCCTTTATTTGAGAGCCTTGTGTCTTAGGCATTCTAACTGGGAACCCACCTGCTGCTGTTTTGTCCTATCTTCTGTGACAGCTTAGCATGTTGATTTCTGTTTTCTTTATAGATGGCCAACTCAGAGTCATAGGTAGTGAAATAGGAAACATATTTCATTTACTTGGAGAAAAAGGAACCCACTATGTTTAAATCCATGAGTGAGACCTAATTTGCCTGCAGAGCTGTTGGAGATGGAGGCTAATCATTGATAACCAGGCCCACAGCAGGACAAAGGGTGGCCCAAACCCAGTGTGGTGCTGTTGCTCAGGACCTTCTCACATTAGACTGTCCTGCTGTCCTTTCTCAAATCTGTTGTCAATTTAGGAGAATGATGAGGCATATCATGCCAGTAATAAATTCCAACATTTATGTACATGTTTCTATTGCATATAATTATAGATAGTAAATATTACCTATCAGATTAAATATAGTATATAAATCACACAACAAATATATACAGTCATTGCTGCATAATTGCATTTCAGTCAATAGTGGGCCATGCATCAACAGGAGTCTCATAGGATTCTGCTAGTGATGTGGTTGTTTTTGTTTAAGTGTACCCTGATGTTCCCACAGTGACAAACTTGCCTCATGGTGCAGTTCTCAGACAGTATCCCTGTTGCTAAGTGCTGCAAACCTCTGTGTGTGTATCTCAATCCTCTAAGAGTTCTTTTACCTTGTTTTTAGTGTGACAGCTTTCTTAAGAATTCCTCCTACTCCAACATTGTCTTTCAGAAAGATATGTGGGTTTTAAAGAAAGTTATATGCATGTGCCATGGTTCTTCATTTCTAGGTTTTTACTTTTCAAAGCCTGTGTTTTATTAGGCATTTCCTATTCTGTTTGTGGTTATCTTCATATTCAAAAATTATTCTGTGAGTAGTGGACCCTCCCTGCAAGCTGGAGCCCCTCTTTCTTCATAAGACTCTTTTCAAAAAAACTATTATTTTTGGGATCTAGTCTTCATTGTTTTGTTTACATCTTATAATTTTTCTTTTTGAACCCTGCTTTATGTCTTAGGAGTAATTTCCATATTTACCTAAACTGTCTTATAGTATTTCAAATGACAGGAAAAGTCATCAGCTGAATAAATACTTAAATTTAAAAGGGTATATAAACGTGGCAAACTGTATGTCTACTTTTGTAAAATACTTCTAAAGTTCTGACATTATTACGCTTTGGAGAGAGAAGATGGGTACTCTTTTTGCTAAACTTTTTATTGAAGTATGGTTGCTTCTTTATATCCATGGGGTTTACATTATGAGGATACAACCAAATGTGGATCAAAAATATTTGGAAAAATATATATATATCTGTAGTGAACAAAAACAGACCTTTTTTAATCTTCATTCCCTGAAAAAGGCAACATTTACATAGCATTTACGTTGTTTTAGATGTTAAATTAGCTAGAGATGGTTTACAGTATATGGGAGTATTTCAGATGCAAATACTGCATCATTTTATATAAATTTTGATATCCATGAGACGGTCTGTAAGCAATCCCCTGTGGATACTGATAGATGACTGTACAGTTGACTATTCCTTATCTGAAATTCTTGGGATCAGAAGTATTTCAGATTCTTGAGTTTTTTTTGGATTTGAAAATATTTACATATACCAGTTGAGCATCCCTGATCTGAAAATCACCAAATCTGAAATGCTTTCAAATTAAATGTTTTGGGTGTTGAGTCAAAAGATCAGGGAAGCTCAGCCTGTACTACATACATATGGGAGCATGAGTGCAGAAATTTTAAGTATTGAACTTGAGGAAAGTTCACAAAGTGGACTGCTGTGTGATCGAGAAACCAAATATTATCAGATGGCTTATCTTTTCTTAAGACTCCAGTCGCCTCACTCTCCCCACCAGGGTACTCATTCATCTGACCTCTAGCATCATGAATTCATTCTTCCTGTTTCTGAATTTTATATGAATAAACTCATTCAGACCATACTTTTTGCCCACCTTAGTCACTCATCCTTTTATTTATGCGATTCTGTGGTTGCACATAGTTACAGTTGCTTTCTCATTCTCATGGCTTTATAATAGTATGTGATTAAACCATAACTCATCCTTTCTATTGTGATGGCCATTTGCATAGTTTCCAGTTTGGGGCAACAACCGTTGCTGTGAACAGTTGTGATGTATGAATTTTATGTATGCTTTTCTGTACAATGTAAATATAGGATTGAATTTGCCAAGTCCTAGGACACAGTATACATACATTCAGTTTAAGTAGATACTAGTAAACATCTTTCCAAGATGTTCAATTAATTTACATTCCCACCAGCAGTGCCTCTTTGGACTTGGTATTATTTCCTGTATTTTTTCCAGTCTGGCAGGTATGTAGAAGCATCCCACGTGGTATCACTTGGCATTTCCCTGATAACTATGGAAGTACCTGTGAAAGCCACTTGCTTCTTTTTCTCTTAGGTTATTTGCCTTTTGAGGCAATTATGTTCAACAGAAGTACTGACAAGGGGAAAAGCAACGTGTGATTAAAATAATACAATGATGAAAGACAAAAGTGATATATACAGAGGTATAATTAGAATGCAGAATTGGACCTGACCTGGGTTTGAGTCTTGATGTTGTCATTTATTTACTGTGTAATAGTGGGAAGTTCTTTTCTCTTTTTCAATCTGATCATGATTCTGTATAATCAGGTTAATAGTAAAACTTTGAAGGTTTATTTTGAGAGCAAAAATGAAATAGTTTGTCAGCACCTCCATATTTCCTGATGCATATATTTCTCATGGAACTATGAGACAGAGGAACTATAATCAGAAACTAATAAGGATGGAAGAAAGGAAAATGATAGGTAATTGCTCATGACTTTGTTGTTCCCTGTGTTAGTTGCTTAATGCTAGTAATCTTGAAAAGCTTTGATAAATGAATTAGATAATGGGAAGTAAATGAGTCCATAAATGTGTTCCTAATCTCTCATAAGATCATACTTTCCTTAATGTGAGATCAGTTTTGATTTTTTAGAGCATCTAAATGTAGTGAGAGCACCAAACATTCCTTTAGTGCATAGAGCATA